TGATAATACTTAAAAAGTATTAATCATTGATATGATAAATTCATCAACGTATCAGAGTAGACATACATGACTAGTACAATAATAGTTCAAGGTCAAATGGATTTTTCTAAAATCAATTGACCAATAATATATATCTCTGTCTATTCTACAAGTCAATGCAATTAAATATCATTAACACTAGCTGCGCCCTCTCATCCTGTCCCTTCCCCTGTCCAACATCCGCTGATAAAAGTTACCACTCTCCCAAACAGGGAGCCTTTCATTACTGGCTTTGCATTCCCCCCCCCCTTTTTTTTTGTTTTACATGAGATTAAAGGAAAGAAAAGAATAAAATGTTTTTTTCCCCATTTTTGCAACTGCATGGTTACTTTTCAGAAAATAAGAAAGAACACTAAAATGCCTTAAATCATTTAAAATTTAACATTATTAGTAATAATCATTAATCCCATAATTGCTCCTGCCTTTTTCCATTTTTTTTTTAAGATAAGTCTCTAAGGCAAAGGCATTACCATAAGGGAATTATTTAGTTTAACATAAAAAAAAATTGGAAGAAAAACGTAAATTGTTTTCATTTTAGTTTAACAGTTAGGTGTGTGCTTAGGGATTGAGTATTATTTGTCCCTTCTGAGGGGACAAATTTGGCTTCTGATCATGCCTTAGATTGCTGATTTCAAGTACAGACATAACCTGCAGCATCAGTGGGACTTAAAGACAGAGTGAATCATAACATCTTACCTTAAAATGTCACTATCTTTTAGCTCTTAACAATGCTAAAGCAGTCAGGTATCTCCTCTATTGGATAAAGGTGTTATTTTCAGAGAAAGAGGTATCTGCAATAGTGCAACATTTATTCATGAGATTGCGGGCAAATTTTCAGAAAAAAATTAACTTAATATGAAAGACATCAGGGCCAATTAGAAACAGCACTTGTTAATATATGAGTCTGAAGACAAGTGTAACTATTAACTTACTGACTCCATCAATGATTTGAAAGACTTTTGAGCTTTCCAAAAATTTCTGAATTACAAACTACTGCACCCAGCTTTTTACTAATTGGAAAAAATCACTGCCTATTTTCTTGGACATCAGTGGTAATTGCTGCCTGTAGAATTTGCTGGGGTTTGCAAAGCTGAACTTCAATTTCTATAACATCTGCCACAAATTCAGTAATCCTGTGTAATAATGCAATGAGAAAACACAACATATGACCATCATATTAGCAGCTGTATTATAGGAAATTATAGCATAAAATTAGGAAATGATGTATGATGTTAATACCTCTATATCTAAAAATGGAGTATATTTCTGTGCATAGTCTAACTAGTGCTCTTCATTATAATACTTGTGGTTTCATGTATTTCCTGTATTGTGTCTGGGCCCCTGCACAAAATCTTCCTTCCTCGTAAAAGTTCTCCTCTTTATTCAGCTCCTTCATCTGGCTAATTGACTAAACCTTTAAGACTAGGATTAAAAATAATTTCCTCTTGGAAATTCCTAAATTCCTCTACTTTGTTCTTTTGATCACATGTATGCAGTGGCTACAAAAACTTCTAGCACATGAGAGTTCTCAATACAACCTTATTAAATAAATGAAAAGCTAGGTGCCCTTTCCCCCATAGCACCTTGGGCTCACCTATGTCAAGTAACATTTGCTCTATATTCGAATAACTTGTATATCTATCTTCTTAAGGTAAACTTTTTATGGTAGGGATGAGTTCTTGTTCACCTTTTTGTCCCCACACCTAGTACAGGGGACAAAAATGTGGCATGCAATAGGTGCTTAATACATACTTGTGGAATAAATAATGGGTGAAGTTTATGAGTCCCTGGGGTTTAGATATGCCTTGGCCATTCCTATCAAGCTCCCTTTCTCCTACATATTCTTAAGAGGGTGCTGTCTGTGTTAGGATTATTGTTTAATTTCATTTGAAAAGGTGGGAAGAAAGAGCATTCTGGTGAAAGTAGGGTTCTCATGAAAATTTCTTTGGAAGAAATTCATACCGTAGCCCTCAGACATAAAATGTTTGCAAATAAATGTATTCTATGTGAAAGTGCAAGTCTATATGCATTTTATCTAAGGATTTGTAAGAGGTGAAATAGAAAATACTGATTTAAGTAAGAGAAGCATGGGATTGTGAAAAACGGTGTTGGATTTCAGGAGAATGTGGGCCTAGTCCTAGCTCTGTCTCTAGTATATTCTGTCTCACTAAGAATATTTTCTTAAATGGAAAATAACTAGGGGAGCAACAACAGCCTTCATCTCTATCAGCCGTAATCCCATGCCAAATGGTAAGCCGTAATCATATCAGTTTTCTTTATTTTCTCTCTCTGCGTTTTTGCATTTGGATAATTTTGATTTACTTCTGGGTGATTATCAAAATATTATGTTGTTGAATGACTTGATATTTAAAATGCCCGTTCTTTAAAATTTAGAATAGGATGACGTAAATTGACAACTGTGTGCTTTGAAAGGGATTTTATTTCATTAGCGCCCCCAGCGGGGGAAGGAGGGAACGTCAGCATCAGCGTTTCAACAGTCCCGCGTCGGAAATAGGGAACCTGAGACCAACATATTGAATGGAGCCTCTTGTTGGGAGCCATCTATTCCCACTCTAAGAATTAGAAATCCCGCATCTTGTTCTTTGTTTTGTGCACTTGGCCCTGTGCCAAATTTGTAATCCTCTCTGCAAAGTGTTTGTTTCCTCTGTATGTTCTTCCCAGATTGTTTTTACTTCATGCTCCTCATTCATCAGTGCCACCCAGGTCATTGATTTCTGAATGGCAGTTAGAGCCCAACTCCAGTCTGTGTGGCCTTTGAAACAAATGGTGTTGTGTGGGTTTCTCCTTTTCTGTGGTGCAGATATTGAAAAGTAGCTGGCACTGTGGGAAGAAGCAAGCCTGTCAAGAAGCCATATAGCGTACACAGTGCTTTGGTTGTATCTGACCATCAAGAAAACCCTCAGTCATTACCAGGTCTTAGCATAAGACTGTAAGTGTCCAGACAAATTGGGAAAACCCTTGCACTCCAGCTCCAAGGAAACAAATAGCCCCCTTCAGTGAATACCCAGGGGCTGCTCTGCAGGACCTCACCGTGAGCCCTCAGATGTTCAGAAGTCAGCCAGGCAGCCCTCCAACACTGGCCCTTCCAGAAAGCAGATCTGTACCAGCCAGCCATTTGCCACCTTGTCTTCTTACCCCTAGCAACTCAGGTGAAGTGAGGGGCGAGGGAGGCCATTAGTACACAAAGGACTGGTTCTGTCACAGGGAAGAGCCAAACCAGAAGAGCCCACAGCATTCTTTCTAGACTAATTGTCCAAATAAAGGAAGATAGTAGAGCAAGTTCAACTAGAAAAAGCAGTTTATCTGAAGAAAATTTCCAGCCTTCTCCGTATGCTTTGAGTTAAATTCCTCCCGTTTTGGAAGTTTTATATGGATTTGATTTTTCCTAAGAGTTTATATTTTAGTTTAAGTAAATATAACTGTCCTATCTCTTTGACTGTCTTATCCATGGAAAAGCCCACAAGTTTGGAAGCATTTGGAACTATTTAAACTATAGCATACGAATTTTTCACCAGTGGAAACCATAATTTGGAAAAAAATACTTTATATCTGTGATTTCTAAGTGTTTAGGGAAACCAGCACTTTATTTCCAGCTTAATTTTTGGTTGGAAATGAGCATGCTTTTTTTCAACCCTCTCAAAGTGCTTTGGAGTATACATCACAATTTTTAAAAAATAAAGTACATTTAATTTTTTTTAATGTTTTAAACTTCTCATTTTAGTGAGATAGAGGAGTGTCAGAGTTGAATCCGGTCCCAGCAGAGCTTTGCCTATACCTAGCCACTTGAAGTTAAGCACTTCCCTCAGCCGCTCTGGATTTAGGGTCTTTATATATCAGATTGGTTTGAGGATGTCTTGCCTTCAAGTTGTAGTGAAAAACCAATCAAATGAGATAATATATGGAGGGTTTTTGAAATGTAAAAAAGGAATGTCCTTGAAAAATTAGGAACAAATGTAAGCTTTATTCACACTTATTTAGTTATCTTTTAAACACACCTGTTCTCCTAGAATTTATCATTTCATGGTATCTCAGAATTTATTTCCAAATGTCTCTGACCACGTAGTATAAAAATATAACTTATTCAAACTGATGAGTTGTTTGACAATTTTGACCACCAATGTTTAGATGAATTTGGGATATATGTTTAATTTCATTTTAAATTTCTATGAATTAAATCTCAGTGATTATTAGCACACAGTGAAAGTCTAGTGAAAAACACAAATAATGGAGAATTTACTAATAACGTACAAGCAAGGTGAGAAAGCCTTAATATAAACATTGGGAAAAGGACAGGCTAATGATCTATACTCTCCCCATAAAATATTTTTAAGTCCATATGTTAGATCTTCATACAGATTTATAGAATACAGAATGAGTGACTTTTTTCTTAATCTAACTTTAAGAACATATTTATAAACCCAGTAACAAAATTTTATGCATCTCCTTTAGCATTCTGTCCTAAGATTTAGTTAACTATTCTTTTTTTTAATTTTTTTTTGAAAGATTCTATTTATTTTTGAGAGAGAGAGAGTGTCCAGGCAGGGAAAGCAGCAAGCAGAGGGAGAGTGAGTAGGCTCCCAGCTCAGCAGGGAGCCTGATGTGGGGCTCGATCCTAGGACCCTGGGGTCATGACCTGAGCTGAAGGTGACGCTTAACTGTCTGAGCCACCCAGGAGCCCCTTAGTTAACTATTCTAAGTGGTTATTCGTTTATGTGACTTAAAATCCACTTAAGAGAAATATTGTTGCCTTGAAAAAATTATTTTCTTCAGAGGAGAAAGTTGCCAAACTGACCATCCCATAAATATCAACTGTGATGGTGGGAGAACAGTAAGGATTTGGTGTTGTTTCCAGGTTTCACTACTCTCCATGATTCATCTTTCATCGTTCTTTCTTTCTCCTTCCTCTGACTTTTTCAACTTCTCTTCCTCTTTGCCTCTAGGGAGAAGCCTCCAGTGGAGGACAGTCACTGAAAAACTACATGGAAGAAGTGAGTTTTAAGGTAGCCTTGTAACATAGTCTGAAATCAGTCTGTCGTATAGGATGAATATTCACTTGGGCTTTCACCATCCACTGTAGGGTTTCCAGTCTATACCCATTCACTGGTTATGCCCACAAAAACAAGATAATAAATAATATGTTATCAAAATGTTTTTTGTTCCTCGTTGATAGAGGAATACCTTATAACAACTCAGTCATCCTGAAAATGAAGGTGAAATTGCACAAACCTAGGGCTATTTATTTTCACTCACAAACATTTGTTGATATCCCAATAAACGAGAAACATGTGCACAAAATAATAAGACATGATCATTGCTCTTATGGAAAGAACAATCTGTACCAAATTGGCTTTCATTCATGTGATAAATGCTCATCAAAGACATTACTTGTAAAGGCCATTAAGCAAAGTGCTGTCTTGACAAATAAAATATATGGTAGATTTTTGTTGGAAAACCGTTTAGACGTCTGGATTTATTTTGGAGATATTCAAGGGTGCTCTGTGTCACAGGATGTGTCTTTGGACTGTCTGCAAATGGTATTTGGGAACTTGCAGATAAATCTGTGGATAGATTCCATAAGACTTGATCTGAAGCCAAACCACAGTGGTCACTAAATTAGCTATCTGAATCTGTTTAGGTGAAGGGAGCTGGGAAGTAGTTTGGTGATGATGTCATGGAAGTACCAGATATTTGGTTTGAATATTGCTCCTCAGAAAGATAGAATCTTGTTCTCTAAATATTTTATTCTTGCATGCATGCATCCATTCAAAACCCAGTTTGAGTGGCCTACTGAACGTGCCACTGAAAATTTATTCGGAACGGTGTACCCATACTTAAACTCACACTTGTTGCCAAATACCACCTAGAAAGGAAAATCAGAGTGCCTAGTACCCCATTAAGTTTCTAACATCTTCAGTTTGCATGTTTGGAGGTGGCTGAAGTTTTGCCAAAGGCACATGGAGAAGAGAACGAAAGGAAATAAGCAGGTTGATTGTCTGGGTTCCGGTTAGAAAAATCAAAATATATGGTGTAAAAAAATTGGAGGGTTAGAGCACCAACTTTAAAATTCAGTTTAATGAATTTTGATGCAGAGATTGAGTAGAATACATTAAAACAGTTAACGTTGCCAAAGGGAGGCAGACACTGTTTTCATTGTGTACGCCAGCAGAATTTCTCTTTAGGATTCTGTGGTTGCTGATGTGCTTGGCTCAGCATTCCTCTGCAGGAAGCCAGATGCAGGGCTCGAACTCAGGACCCTGGGATCATGACCTGAGCAGAAGGCAGACTCTTAACCGACTAAGCCACCCAGGCACCCCAGAACTTTTAAAATAAATCTTATTTTAAATTTGTAGTTCTTATCCAGGAAAAAGATCCTTATTTTCTCCATTATTATGAATGTGCAATCTAAACATACCTGTTTTACACAATTGTGAATGCTTAATGTGAGAACAGGGGTGAGAATTTGTGCCTTTGCATTCGAGGTTCTGAAAGCGCACTCTCCTTCAATGTGGTCCTCTGATAAGCAACAGGGACAACACCTAGGGGCTTGGAAGAAATGCAAAATCACACCAGATCCAGAGAATCAAAATCTGTATTCTAACAAGATGCCTGTGTAATTCGAAGTACCCTTAAGTTCCAGAAACACTGCCCTAAAGTGTTCTTTCAATGTTATTTCTAGAGAGTAACTACATATATCATGAAAAACCCCCAATTTTTATAATACAGGTAAAGAGGAAAATTCTGTTAATAAATTTCTGAGTTTTATTTATTCATTTACTCTCAAGAACAAAATTTTTGGTTGATTAGGGGTATAAAATCTCTCTAGCTTGTGAGATTCATCACCGACTTTCAGTTTAAAATTACAAGTATGTGCGAACTGCCCATAAATATTTTTGGGGGATTTAGTATCACATAGGGTTTTTATCTAATATTGCTTGATATTTAGATTTTAGCTCTTTTTTTTTAAACCAACAAATGATCACTCTTTACAATATGACCTTAATTAGTGAACTGTTAACTCATTACTAGTTGGATTCTTTTTGTAGACATTAATCCATTCGGTCTTTAGGAAATATATACTCAAATTCTTCTCCATTGAGAACATGTTGAGAGTGTGAGCCATAAAATGATAGTTGCTTTTTTCCCACTTGTGCTCTTATTTCACTTTTGCTCTCTTTCTGCATGTTAGTTAAATCAGCAAACAATAAGGAACAATATTTATAAATGTTAGAAGCATTGAAGTTAAAACTGTGCTAGCAAACATTTGCTTTTATTTAGTATACACTAAAACTCAAGTAAACCATAGTGTTTACATTTTTAATATATTTAACATTTCTTGTTAAAGTTTGGGCAACTCTTTGCAGATCAAAGTCTGGATTTTTTTTAATTCAGTCTTATAATTAGACAGAATTATAACCACATGACATTAGACAATATTGTTTAGACCTAAATCAAAACTAGAGACAATAGAGTCTCCTCTACAAAAGCTAAAATGGAATTTTCATTCTATATTTTCTGGTTTTTAATGTATTATTTTTCTAGAATAGGATTTGTATTTTTTTAAAAGATTTTATTTATTTATTTGAGAGAAAGAGTGAGAGAGAGTACGAGTGGGGTGAGGGGCAAAGGGAGAAGCATACTCCCCGCTAATCAGGGAGCCCAATGCGGGGCTTGATCCCAGGATCCTGGGATCATGACCTGAGCCGAAGGCAGATGCTTTAACCGATTGAGCCACCCAGGCACCCCAGAATAGAATTTGTATTTTTGACCAAATAAAAGATGAGATATTTTATAATAGTCTACTTCTACTAATCTTCAAAATCATTTTTACAGTTAAATTTTTTTATTTTATTTTTTTAAGATTTTACTTATTTGACAGGAGAGCGCACAAGCAGGGGGAATAGCAGAGGTAGAGGGAGAAGCAGGCTCCCCGCTGAGCAGGGAGCCCGATGCAGGGCTCGATCCCAGGATCCTGGGATCATGACCTGAGCTGAAGGCAGACGCTTAACAACTGAGCCACCCAGGCGCCCCTACAGTTAAGTTTTTTAAAAGAAAGTATGTGTTCTTCACTTGAAAGACATTTGATAACTCAGGTAGGCATAATAATTTCATATTGCAGTGATTTCTGTTTTGAAATAATACTAACATTTATTCAAAAAATACATATAATTTGAAGGAACTTCTCAAAATCAAGTACCTCCAGAGCTTGATTGTCACAACTTTTGTAGAGAAGCTAATCCATTTAACATATCACATTTTCCAGATGAATAATTGGAAACCAGCACACCACACTGGCTAAAAATCCCCTCATCATGAGAAATTTATTAATTTAAATTTGTATTTATCAGAAAAGTATCATCAACTTCAATGGTTGAGAAGCTATAAAGAACTAAAGACTCAACTTAATGATTTTTTGAAACTTTCTAAAGAGCAGTTTAGAGCAGTTCCCCGAAACTTGAGGAAGTTAGCTGCTGAAGGCCGGAGGCAACATACATGGGAGTGTGAACTAACTCAAGGTGTCAAGAGGCAGCTTCGCAGTCTCTAAGGGTGTCAGACAGGAAGAAAAGCATGCTAAGTGCGCAGGCCTTTTCCAAATCTGTTGAGGTGGGTTTTGCCAGCTGTACCATCTGAACTAGAAAAGAGATCGATTCTACGCAACAAAATATCTTCAAATCACTTCTCGTGCCAGTCTTGGCCCGTCTTGTTTCTCCTGTGTTGTATTATTTGTGTGATCACGACTGTCGTGAAGTTCCTCCCAACTCTTCTTCTGTGGAAAGTGCGGGACATCATCCTATAATAAATAAGACATGATTAACTTTTTTTTGTCATGCACAGGGATTTGCTTTTCAAAAATTGATGTTACTATTTAATTATATGGTTTTATTCACTTGAGAAACAAGGAAACAAGGAACTTTGTCAAGAAAACCCTGTTTTGTCTTTGACATTCCTCAAGAACTAGTATATGATGTTAAAGGATAACAGTGTTTTAAAAAGTTATAATCATGGCTCTTATACAGATATAAAATGAACATATATCAAAGATTTATTGAACTCACTAATTAGTAAGGGAACCAGTAAAGTATTACAACCAGTTCAAGGGAGAATTTAAACCCTCCTTTAAATAAGAAATGCTGAAATGAAGTTATAAAGAGAGGCAAAAATTGGTAAAGCTGACCAATATCCATAGGGTAATAATCAGTTACATTCAAATGGGTACAATATATGGACTGGAATCATTGGTACTACTATCAATGTCTATGAATTACATAGTTACTAAACAGCTCAAAGTCAATGAAAGACCCAGAGCCTCCACAGAATCAGGTAAGGAGAAGGACATACTAGAAAAATGTATTGTTTTTCATTGTCTATACCCATAATCTTTCATCCATTTCAAAGTCTTACAATTTTATCCCACAATTTCCTTGGAGAGAAAAGTCACCAAATGGAATGAATTAGGACATAAAATGGAGTGTAATCCCCTTGTGCAGTATAGTATAGCAAATTTGTCAGATAAATTTATTTTAGCACCTTGCATTTATTTTGTAATATTTTTCACAATCTACCATTTATTTCTAACTTTGTTATTGCTTTTTCTCTTTTCTTTTCCCAAATCCTGTTAGTTCAAACTTACAGCTTCCTAAACTTACTACTTCCCTCTTCTTATGATTTAATTGCCCTTTTACAATTCCCAAAAGAACTGGGCTGTAGAAGTATAATTTACTAAAAATTTATGGATTTTTGTCTGATAATACAAGGAATTTCATTAACAAATACAAAAAGGTATTTTCAAACTTTACAGCCATACCTCAGATATTGTGACTTCGGTTCCAGACCACTACAATAAAGTGAATATTGCAATAAAGTGAGCCAATGAATTTTTTGGTTTCACAGTGCATATAAAAATTATGTTTATACTACATTGTAGTCTATTAAATGTGCCATAGCATTATGTCTAATAAATGTATATATTTTAATTTAAAAATACTTTATT